CTGTGCAACACACTGACGTCACTGACGCAACAGTACGTGACATATATGCCCGTGCGCATGCATGCATGCAACCCATACAGATATGGAAGCGATGATTACCCCCCCTGTTTCGGTGCCACCGTTCATAATAACCTTTGGCTACAAAAACTTTACATAAGGTGGGAATAAAAGAGCAGCAAACTGCAGCTTCTTTAGAAAAAAATACACGATGCTTGGTCCACCACATCTAACTTTATCAGCCACAGTGCAGTGCAGGTGTACAGCCAGGGACATCACAGTCATAAGGCAATAATTCAGGACCTTAATATTTCATGCAACCTCCCCTTGTCTTTGATCGACAAGCCCAGCTTTAAAAGCTTCATGGCAATGGTAGAGGAGAAATATGTTGTGAATAATGTTGTAAATTGGCGCTAAATAAATAAACTGAATTGAACTGAAAATACTGCCCGTCAAGTCATTAAGTTACAAAAAGTTATTGCCACAATCTTTCTTTTATAAAAGTATTGTTATTGTCCTGCTATTTGTTTAGGGTTTTTCTTTATCTCTTGTAGTTGCTAACCTCATATGTATTAATAAAAAGCAGGACTGCGATTGTTTTTTTTCCACAGTCCTCATTTTCACTTAAAAATAAAAGAGCAGACATTTACTACTAAAACTAGAAAAAGTTGTAACCACAAATGTCAGGTAAATACTTTAAGAAAATAGTTTTTTTTTTTAAAGAAAAAAAAAAACTAAAAATGCAAAATTTATCTGGAAATTTTTTTTGCGTGTGTGCTTTTTTTAATTGTATTTTTCATTTAGCAGTTCAAGATAATGATAATTCCATAGATATAATAGCGACCTTTAAGCTATACCGTCTCAGTGACAGAGATGAAAACACAAGGAGAAACAAGCAAGCACGAAAATTATTGCACTTTTTTTAATTAATCAAGTGATTAGAATTTTTTGTGCGATTAATTGATTATTGCGACAGGCCTTCTCAAGACTTGAGACTTGACTTGGACTTGAGCTCTCAAGACTTGAGACTTGACTTGGACTTGCAAAAAATGACTTGTGAACTTGTCTGGCTACTACTGTAAATGAAACCTTATCTGCCCATGGTCATGCCACTGGTTCACTGTTTTTCATGTATATTGCCAGCTGTAGACAAGAAATACCCNGATTGCTGAAGAGTCATTGAGTCGATGCAATGAGCTGGTTTTCCTTAGATAGAAAACTTTGAATCAATCTGACTGGATGATCTGGTTAAACTCTCTCTGTAAATCCTTTGAGATGACATGATGTGATTTAGCGCCATTGAAATAAACTGAATAGAATTTAATTCCATGATAGCAAAACTCTGGAAATTTCTTCCTTTGACTAAGACAGAGTTTTACTGTCACACATTTATTAATTCATATCCTCATCATAATTTTTCCAGCAAATGTAGCATTTTTTGTATTTTTTTAAAATGCAAAATATTTCAAAGAAAAATTGAACACATGACTGTCGATCAATGTCTAACAGTGGATTATTGTTTTGTGGATTATTGTTTTGTGTAAAGAAATATAGAGGATGAGCCTGAAGTGAAAATGAAGGTTTGGAAAATAAATAAAGTGTCTGACTCCATCTGGTGGTCGAAGATGTTATATATTAGTGCTGAAAGGTTTTTTTAAAGGGTGACACTGGAAGACACTAAAAGTCCTCTTTATTTAATTTAGAATTGGTCCCTGCCTCTCTGAAGTCAGCGTGCTCCATTAATGATTTTACATGTATTTTAGAATTTGAGGAATTCTATAAATTTTCTTAAACTGAAATCATCTCTAGATCTAGTCATCTTTGCCAATATGGGCCAGGAATCTTCCACCAGAGAGGGATTTACACCTCTAATTATAATAATAATAATAATAATCAATAATAATCCATGTTTTATTTTTTAAATCCTTTTTATCTGCTGCTCTAATCAAAGGAGTTATAGCTGTTTTTATTTCTTATATTTGTATTTTTTATTGTAGAACGCTTACTGTTGTGTTTTTTGGGAAGACAATTTTAAGATCTGTCCAGGGAAAACAGATGAAAAATAGCCTTTGGCTAAATCTGGTGCATTTGCAGGAATGCTTTTTAATGTACATTGTCCCTGTCAAATAAATTCTTCTAAAAACATAGTTAAATATAATTTACTATTAATTATAATTCTTTTTTTTTTTTTGGTCTGCTTTCCTTTCACTCATCTATCTATTGTTGTATAACTAATTATTTATCTGCTGCTGGTGAATGCTGTTAATTCTTCTCATATTATTGGGTTGAGCTAATTGAATACAAATTTAAATATTGTTGGATTTTGCATTTATTGCCTCAACTAATCTCTAATCTTTATCTATACGGTTGTTTTCTGTAATTCAGTGAAGTTTATTAATCTGGAGAAGTTTACCTCTGTATTTAATCCCTCCCCTTGGGGAGCAGTGGGATGCCTTTGTGCAGCGCCCGGGGAGCAGGGTGGGGTTAAGGGTCTTGCTCAGGGACCCAGAGTGCAGACTGTGGACTTGAACTTGGTACTTGCAACCTTCTCAAATCACAAGTGCACTGCTCTAACCACTAGGCCATCACTTTTATATCAGGGTTAGGGTAGCGTAGAGTCTGAGAACTTTGGCCTTGAGGGTTGAAGGTTGCTGCATGTTTGTGTGAATAAATCTTCATCTTCCAGCTTTTCCCTTTCATTTCTCTCCACAATGAGTCATCTGACTCCGTCTAACCTGATCTTCTGCATCTCTTCTGTCAGACCAGCTAGCTTCATGCTTCATGTCCTATTTAGCTCCATCCATGAACCTCCTCCTCCAGGCCTCCTCCTGTTCCAGCTGAGGTTCTCCTTTAAGCACATCCAA